CATATTTTTCATGAATACTTTACATGCGAATAAAAAAATTGCGAATAAAAAAATTGCGAAAAAAAATCGAATATCGGTCAAGTAAATAGGACATAATTAAAATCGATTGAAAATTTACCATTCGTCGGCAGATCGAATTTTCGTAATTCGATGAATGGATGACGTTGTTGGCTTGGTAAATAACTTTAAAAATGGTGCGTAAGCAAAAATTTTCTCTGTAAGGATCTGAGAAAATAAAAGGTAAGTAATCTCATGGAACGTTTCTACAGTAATGCAAATAGTAAAGGCCGGTAGTCGATTTACGCTTTATCGATACCTACAAATCCTTCTTGAGAAGGAAATAAATCACTTTGAACGCAGATAGTTATGGTGTTTCCATTCGAGTCAATTTCTAATCGATTTAAACGTCAATCCTCGTCGATTTCGAAATAAATCAAGCTTCTAAGTAATTATTTAAAATATATCTCATGAGAATTATTAAAAGAAACAAATATACTATATGACTTTATTCAAAGAAATTTTTTTTCTAATCTTAGCTGTTATTAAAAATCCATCGACGTTATCGTAAAAGTAAAATTGCACATATTTTATTTTTTAATCCATCTATCTTCTTTCTTACGCCAAACAATATTTCACATCATTCGCTCTGTATATATCACGTATCTACGTTTTAAAAATAATAATTTACATTATTTCAAAAATAAAAAAAAATAAAAAGAAGAAAAAAAAAAGACAAATCTCTCAATTTTCGAAAGTATAAAAAAATGCGCAAAAAGTAGTTATCAGAATTTGTAGTAACGTTGATACGGTAATTAAATACTCGAACGCGTAACGAGACGAACGACGAAATTAGGAGAGATCGATTTGACCAAGGACTATGAAATAAAAAAATGAAAAAAGAAAAAAAAAAAAGAAAAAAAAAGAAAAAAAAACCAAATAAAAGGAAAAAAGACCGAGCATACCTACAAACATATATACATACATGTACACACATATCCATTCATATATGTATTTCACGTTTCACATCGTTCGATTCGTTGCGAATTGGTGCAACGAGTATGCATTTGGTGCAACGAGCGTATCGTTGATTGGGACGGCAACGTTGCTGGGAGAGCTCACGCGTTATCTTTTAGTGTCTTGTAACAAGCGTTCAGTCAGTGACCCATAACAATTAGTGTCGATGGGTAGGGAGATAGACAGATAGATAGATAGAGAGAGAGGAAGAGAGAGAGAGAGAAAGAGATAGAGAGAGAGAGAGAGAGAAAAAGCTTTTACATTGAATTAGAGAAGGGGAGGGACGATTGACGGAAATGGAATAAAGCTGCTTGATCCGGTAGGATAAATTGGTTCCTTAACCCTAAAGATATAATTCGTAAAAATCAATCAATAAGATCGATTAAAGTCGATTTCGATATTATAAATTGTTCGTTCGAAAATTATTTTTCATTTTTGTTAAATTCGTAATAATACAAAGGACGAGACGTTTTTAATTAATTGTAAAAGATTGCGGTTTAAATGAGAACGTTTAACGGTGTTTCCTATTCATTTCTAGTTTTCTAAACGATAATGTTTGTTGATAATAGAGACACGCTCTGGATAAGAAGTCGCCTTCGTGTCGATCTTTCGTTCGTCGTGTAGCAATCTAGTAACAAAGTCAACGTACTAACGAATAATGACGAAACATCATCGAATACGTTATTATCAACGTGAATAAACTAAACTATTTATTCCAGTATGTTCAATTTAAATAAATTTTTCATTCAAATTATTTTTTTTCTTTTTTTTTTATTTCTTTTGTTTTAAATTCTTATCATCGATTTTAACTGTTTGGTTATAATGACTAAACATAAACGCATCTGTTCTTTTGTATCTTAAATTATGTAAATAGGTCGCCTAATTAAATTTCATTGAAGCGTGAAGATGTTACAAATGTGAATGCAGTTAAGCCTATTCTTTTTCTGTAACTTTCTAACGAATATATATACATAGATAAAGACACACACATTATTACGTGACTTGTATTCTTATATATTTTCTCTCTATTGTCTATAACTAATATTATTTTTCTAACATAATTTATAAGGCATATTATAATGACAGACAATAACGATCATAATGAGACACTTCTTGATGTGTCTCTCGTGCGACATATTTCATATATGTATGTAATGTTTTACTTATGCGATATTCCATGACATTGGGATCATCGAAACTTCGTTCTCGATGTGACTTCAAGCAAAATATCGATTAGACTTGTGTATGTGTGTATGCGTGTGCATGTGCTTAATAATTTGTTTGATTATGTTTGCTATCTTTATTAAATTATTTTATTAATACAATTATATTTTTATCAGAAAAAGTTCTAATTAGTATTAAGCGGTTAAACATTATTACAAATAATAGTTAAAAAACAAATTTAAGAGTATATATATATATATATATATATATATGTATATATATATATATATATATATATGTATATATATATATATATATATATATGTATATATATATATATATATATATGTATATATATATTTATTTTATCTTAATACGATTAGGTAAACAAATAATAAAAAATTAGAAGTTTAATTATTTTTTGCAATCATTATTTAAAAGTTTTAATTGAAGATTTGATACAGAGTATTAGACATATTTAAATAATAAAATAATTTATATATCGTTCCTTTCACTAATTATTATTTTATATAACGATATTACGATCATTTTGATAAATGTTACATACACCCACACACACACACACACGTTTCTTTTTATTTATAGTTTCGAAAGATTATGGTTCGTTAGCGAAGTGAAACGTCGATAAGTTACTAAATGAAAAGAGAAAAGAAAAATACATAAATGGTAAAGATCTGCGTAGATGGAAAATGGTTTATAGTCCTCCCTCTTCCTGTGTTTAATAGACAACTCAATGCCCCTTTTAACCAGAGTACTTAAGTAATTCTTTCCCATTGACCTCTGTACACAACTCATATCTTGACGCTTCGCGACAAACGAATCACAACGTACATACGCTCAGTTATTATTTTCAATGGGGCTTCTTAACACCGCGAGAATTTCTTGCGGATCGAGATATAAAAAAAGTATTTTATAACCATACAGGATATCTCATCGAGTCGTCGACGAACTTCACTTTTTGGAATTTCTATGACATTTCTACGTCTCTTGTCGCAACAATTTTAAAGGTAAATCATTAAACCATTTTTGTACATTTCATTTAATCATATCTTAACCTCTATTTAATATTTGTTTAAAAAGATAATCGTGAAATTGACGATGCAATGATCAAAAAACGATAGACGATCGTTCGAAAAATAAAATCTAATTCAGATTAGATTAATTTTCTTTTTTTTGTTTTTTAATGTACATATCGAATGGTTATATTCAGAGTTATCGACAAATTTCAATTTATTTAATGTAATTTAAAATCTTAAGAAAAAAGGATATATTAAGTTGGGGAAAAAGAAATCTATTATTTTATTTTTTTTTTTATTTGACCCAAATCGGACAATCCGGAACATGTTAAATAAAGTCTTGAAGTTCACGCAAAAATAAAGGATTTCTTTTTCCTCAACTTAATATATTCTTAAAGATCTTTTTTGAATGAGTACATATATGTTGAATCATTTTTTAAATATTGTAAATATTATCGAAAAGTATTGTCAATGCAATTTGTAATTTGTACAATGTAAATTGTAATTAAAAGCATTGCCATTAACACTGAAAGTGTAAATAGTAATGTCCTCGAATTAACACGTCGAAGAACTGGTATAGGTCTGAAAGCGAATAGCGAAAGTGGATCTAGTTCCTTCCGTTTTACTAATTTGGAGACTGTCATTTTCGATTTCACAGGCTTGTCGTCAATGCGGTTTAGTGAAATGGAAACTGTTAGGAATGAGGTCTAACATTAAATAAAAATTTATAATGATATCGAATAAAAACGTAATTTCATACAGATCGTTAGGTTTGAACGTTTAACAAAGAACATTACGTGCTAAACAATAAGAAATTTGTGTTACGTATTAGAAGAGCAAAAAAACAAACATTTAATAGCCGATGTTGAAACGAATAGAATAATTTTCATGAAATTCGATGATTGTCAGTAACTCGAAGTATAATATACATTGTTGATACTCATTGTTCATAATTCACCGTTTACGGATATATCTGAGACATTTTATGTGAATTTATTGGACTACAATCGGAAACATCAGAAAGGACGTTATATGTCTTAAACCTTTTGCCGTAATCTCATGAATATGCATTATCACTTTCGTTTGTTGCGCATTGAATCTGGGTATGTGGAACGATCTTCCTTTCGAGATAAACCAACAAATAGAAGGAGCGTTACGTAAATTTCACTATATAGGCGTATTTTATCAATGTGGTATACCACAAGTACGTATCTCCCCTTTCGATAACTTCCTTGTATAAAAAGTTTCTGTAGAAAAATTTTTTCAATTAGGTCTATAAAAATGAAATAGAATATAATCCAATTTATCGATCTTCTTTTATCATCGAAAGATATTATATATAAAATGATAAAAGATTTTTAAATATCGTTTCAATACCAATGTTCAAAGAAATTCAATTATTAGATCGATCCAAAAAATATATATTGAAATTATAATGTTACATAATAGTGCAACATGGATCAGAAGTGCACTACTCAAAACGTAATGCACGATTATCGGTCATAAAAGGTCAGTAGGACAAAGAAGGGAGGAGTGTTCGATAATGGCAAAGTTTATTCGATCTGGATCAATACCAAGTCAAATTAAATGATCTTTCGAAGAAATGACAAAATCGTACTAAGTAAAAGTGTTCTACAAAAGATATTTACTTTTAAATCGATTTTCGATTTTAACGATTTAAAACATTAAGTAGAAAATTTTTACTCGTTTTACTAGTAATTATATCCTTTTCACTTTTGCATAGCGACGATTGGACAGTAAAAATCTTTCATTATTATTTTATAGCACAGATAATAACATCGCACAATTGGCTTTCGTGCTCGAAAGAAGAGGATTCAACGACTGTTCTTCTTCGTATGTATGTATGTATGTATGTATGTATGTATGTATGTATGTATGTATATATATATATGTTAGTAGATGATTTTACGAGTGAACGGCAGAAAATGTAATATCCGGGACCGTTGCGACGATAAAAACGAAGCAAAAGGATCACTAGGATGTTCCATAAAATTGTTAACTTTTAACAAAATTATTTAAATAATATTTGACTTATTCCAAGTATCAAAACAAAACAAAACAAAACAAAACAAAAAAGTAAAAGTGACCATTTTTGGATACGTCTTCTTTCGCACAATTATGTTTTACTTATAGTAAATTAAGTTAAAGCAATAGAAGAAGAATATTACTTTAATAAAATATAAAATTTAAGGGATCGAACATTCTTTATCAACATTAATTTTTATAATTGTTGATAAGTATGCTTTCATTTATTATGAGTTTTTCTAACTATTAAATGCTAAAGGTATCATTTTTTTAACGATAACTTTTATTTAACATTACTTTAATACTCTTCATTAACGAAGATTATAAACGTTAGTAAATCTGATGCACAAGCAAGAGGTGCGTACGATGTGACGGATTTTAATTTTACTTTCACTCCCTTGAACTTTGCCCTCTTATGTATTTACTTAACATAAAACATTCAAATGTATTTAAATAATCATTCATAAAACCATCCGATATTATTACATATAATTCGTTTAACCCTCTCTTTTCATATATCTTCTCTTTTGATAGAACCTTTTTGGATGAGAATCATACAATGGAGAATCTTATTGACCTCGTCTTTGACTTGTTCTTGACATTTATCAGCAATTAATATTATAATACAGGTTTTGCATTGAATTTAAATGTAATAGGAAAATATATATCACCGTAAAACACGTCTCTTCTCTCGTTGAAGGACAACGATTTCCTTTTCGCGAGTTTTTGTCGATGATTTCTACAATTTGTTTGTCTTACATTCGCATCGGCTTATCGTCTAACGAATAGCCGTCTAATCGAAAAATAGTATCGTTACACAAGAATGACGGAACGTTCGTTTATGCTCGAGCAAATAGAAAAAAGAAAAAAATAATCGATTGCAACGGTACTAATATTCTAGGTCTAGGATAAATTATGTCTCTGTCCCGGTAATGTTATATTTTGACCGTGATCAGCTTGATGTGTCATTGGATATATAATTTCGTAGACATCGCAATGTAAACATTTTCTCGAAGAACTCGATTTCTTTCGTAATATCCTCAATCGTTAAAATATTTACGCACGTGCTTTGATGTATTACATCTTGGTTACGTCACGGTATCAAATAGATATTAAATCATAAAATTTCTTGAATTTAATCGATATAAAATCGATAAAAAAATTTAACAAATTAAAATCTAAACACATTATATTATTATTATGTGATATGAATTATTATTGTGCGATATTATTAACGATAAACGATGTTAACTCATTTTAAATGTATTTTTATTTTTGCAAATAATCACATAGAAGCTTAGTTGTTATTCTAATAATTTTATATTTGGTATATATATAAAAAAAAAAAAAATTAGAAAAAATGCATAACTATATTTTTAATGTGAGATATTAAAAAGCAACAGACACGTCTTTGTATAGTCCAAGCCACCAAGCCACTTTCTGTGATAGGCTATCGCGAATAATCGTGTATTGGTCATCCAGAAGTCATCGAGGCAAGACGAACTCGTCGTAGCGCTTAGTGATAGCTAGCTAGCTGGCTAGTTAGCTTGGAAGAAGTCCAGGGCTGCGTGCATGACCTTCACATATTCTCGCGTTACGTGCACGTACACCTATATTTTTCTTGGGATCGTCGAACTTTCTTATAGAAAGATTCAAGGATAATAATATTAAAAATAATTTTATTTATATTATCGCTATTCAAATTTTACGGAACAAATTAATTTTATCTCATTAACGATTTTTAAAAGATTCTCAAGTTCGTCTATTCATAAATTATTCATGAATAAATCGTCATAACTCAAAAGAAATCGATTATTATTAAATATTCAAATTTATCGTATTCGAATTGCCACGCATTTCGCTTAAACGTAATACACACACACACACACACACATATATAATTACCTAATCCATTATTTTCAATTGATGTCCCATGATATCTGTCGATAAGGAGCATAGATAGAAGCTTGTATTTCCGAATTATAAATTAATAAGCTTGGAGACGGTCGAATAATTTATGGCGCCATAAAGCGTAGTTGTAGTTCCAAGGAACGATCAATCGGACAATGCACTTGTACGGAAATGCGTAGATACATACACACACACATACACATATATATGTGTACATAGATATGTATTGTATTATGCACTAGATGTATCGTCACCTGCTGAAGTAGTCAAGTGAGTGACATCGATTGTATTGCGTATTCGCTTGAATTATATTTCGCCTATCTGTTTCTATTATATAAGACTTTCTATCAATGCCATCATCGATTCCATTGAATTAACCCGAAGGATACGATAGAGTTAAATGTTCGATTGATTAAAGTCAGGGCCTTTTTCTGATAACATTAATCAATCATCACGGTCATGGTAAATTCATATTAATTTAAATCTAAATTAAATTCTAATATAAGTGATAAAGAAATTGAATGATGAACGTCTATGAGAGTATAAAAAAAAAAATTAGAACAGACTGAAAAATCAAATACAATAGGAATCAATAATTTATGCAACGATGATCATTAATTACGCAAAAAGTAAAGAAAAGAAAGAAAACGAAGAATTTTTTTCTCATCGATTTGTAGAAAATACTATAACGTTATAGTTGGAAAATATTTATTCTAGTCATGGTTACGTTCTCAGAGAATCATGGAAGCGAGACGGATGCACGTTGCCAGTTTGTAGAGGTTGAAAGAAATCCAGAGTTTGCTGTTAACCTTCCTTCGAAGATCAGCGAAATGCGAGAAGGAGTAAAACGAAGAAAGGAAGAGGGATATACAAAAAGAAAAAAGATACGTATAAGCATGGGGAAGCCCTCGCGAAGCAAACTTGTCGTTGAGTAAAACAGGTGGGGATGAAGGCCGTTGGCTCCGTTCGTGGCAAATGCCTCGACAACGTACCTAGACCTACATAAACAAGATAACGAGTTTACCAGTCTTTCTACATACATACATGCATACGAGTGCACATTGCAGCACATTGGAAAAGCTGAAGATGCAACTGACATGGTGTAACGAAGCTCGCTCAATCTTCCGTTCTTAGATCGTTGCTTTTTATTCCCTAGACTCTTCTCTGTTTTTCTTGCTTGCTTGTACCAAGAAGAACCTTAGTGCAAACTCGTCGATGTTGTTCGATCGACGTTTTCTTTTACCATCTAAAAAAAAAAAAAAAAAAAAAAAAAAAGAACCATTTTCATTTAATCGATCTTTCAAAAATATCTAATTGATCAGCAATGTTAAATCAATCATAGATAATAATATATTTTTTCATTATTTAATTTTAAATCAAAGAACGCACATTAATTTTGATAACGATATCTCATGTGAGCAAACTAATATACATTATTCGCAAAACTAGCATACATTATAAAACACAACACAATTAAAATGGTAACAGTTGTGCAAGAAAATTGCCAATAGTGGATATACTTAAGTAAATATTTCAAGACAAAGAAACAAAGAATATTTTTGAAGGCAATGCATCATAAACTTCTGTCAATAGTAAATAATGGATTTTACTCTTAATCTTATCTCTATTGTGTTAGTTCAACAAAAACATGAAATCCTTTAATCGTTATTAACATTTCCGAAGGAATTGAAATCTTCGATAAAACGGACATTTAATTAATTCGTTTCTGTTAATTTTGTCGAATCAATATATTAAAGTTCTAGTCTCTATATTAAATATGATATAACAAAAATGAAAAAAAGAAAAGAAAAAAAATTGAACGACTCCTTTTAAACGATTTTATAATGATGATAAATCTTATTTCAGATAGGACCATTTCCGGTGTCGATCCTCGCGAGATGTGGACGAGCAGGAGCATGGGTCTCCTGATAACGACAATGATCGTTCTGATTGGCGATCGAACGACGAATTCTCAAAAGCCTCGTCTTGGTGGTGCCGTAAACGTCTTCACTCGCTACGGTTACCTCAGCATCAGTATGAGGGTTGTGCCGCGTAACGACACGGACACTTGGATATTTCGCGAGCCAACTTTGGATGTCTTTAGGAATCCAATGGCAATGCCACCGAATCAATTACAGCAAGGAAAATCTATGACGAGCGTATTCGATGGTGATTTTCACATGGAATTTTGTGACAACGTAAGACAACTCCTACAGGCATACTTCCGTGATTTCGCTTTCGAGAAATTAGAAAGACCCTGGCGAGCGTTCACTGGCAGTTGGTCCAAGGCCGCCATAGCTAGGCATCTTGGTATCAACTCGTCTTTCATCGGTGGTGATTATTGTTATGTCCTTGTACGGGTCGCCAGATTTCGAGATAATCAGAAATTAGTTGCCACTGCTGAATCTTTACTCCTTGATGAAGTTGTACTCAGGGAAACAGAAAACGTCACAGTTGGTGATACCTTTAGTGTCGTTAACTTCATCAGGAATTATGGCTCTCATTATATCGCTTCTTATATCACTGGAAATTCACTCTATCAGGTGAGATCTCTTATTTTTATCGATCGTTTAAGTCATCATTTTTTTTTAAGCAATTTGTAAGATAAATTAAGTACTTAGTTCTTTTTCTTTCTTTCTTTCTTTCTTTCTTTCTCTCTTTTTTTTTATTACTTTTATTAAACATTTGCGTCATCGTGAAGACAACGTTCATGAAGATAATGCAGTAAAGTTTTTTAATTTAAAACCCATTTCTATTTGCAATCGTACACGTTTACTTTCTTTTTAATAAATAATAAGGTCAACGTTATCGGATTCAGTTTGCAAATGATAATGTCTAAAAAACAATATAGTACCTTTCTCTCAATTTATTTCTCAACGCTCGACCTCGTCAATTCTCGCGAGAGGAAACTACTTTTATCCGATCATGCCATTCTATAGTTATTGAAACGAAATTACCTATCCGTATAGACCTTGCAAGAGAGAAAGAGAGAGAGAAAAAGAGAGAGAGAGAGAGAGAGAGAGAGAGAGAGAGAGAGAGAGAGAGAAAGAAAATGACCGCCCGTTATGGTAGTAAGGGAACAATTACCATTGTTCTTAGAAATGTATGTACACATAAACGTAAAATAATCATTGATAATTAGTATCGATTAGATCTAAATATGCATCATTGGTTCTCCCACATTGTTTCTTCGAAATTAAAGAACTCAATAATCGAAGTGTACATAGAAATTATGTAATAAATTAAGATTTTCGATTTATATAATCCTTATTTACTTTTTTTTTTTGGAGAATAACAGAAACGAAAACACTTTCATTTAATAATTAAAAGCGCTTTTTTGTCGATTGAATTGTCAAAGTTACGATATCGAATTTCAATTCATTCTACTACTCCTGAGTTCAATAAATTCTGAAATAAATTCTTTTTTTTTTTCAGGTATTTGTTTATACCCCTCAAGTATATCTACGTATAAAAGAACGTTTAAAAACACGGGGTGTCTCGGAGCTTTCGACCTTGGAACTGAACAATTATTTCTCACCTTGGTACGCTGAACACATGGGTGCCATACAATCTGCTAGTGGTAATCGTTCAGTAGAAGCTTGGGCTGTCGAGAGACTCCGAATACAGTATTACATCTTCTCGTATGCGAGCTTGCTGAAGCTTCATGGTGATGCGGCCTTGCTTAGACAATTGGATGGCTTGCTCGGAAACGAGGCACTATTACAACTCCAACTTCGTACCTTGGCGCCAGTTTTTAAGGATTCGAAGAGACGCGAGTGGTTCCTAGAAGTGATCGACAATTATTTTAAGCTTTGGGAAGTGAACATGTGAAGAGATGATCAAATTGCGACTCGACGAGAATGCTACGTCGTAAAGAAAAAGGAAAAAAGAAAAAAAAAAAAAAGAAAAAAGAAGTTTCATTTCATTGTGATTCACGTCCAAGTTAAGGACGTTAGAGGAATATGGTGGTACGATCTTCGAGATGATTCGGCTGATGATCGAAAACCGGTTCGGTGATTCCATGGATTTCCTCTTTGATTAAACGTTCCTGGAAGCCGTACTAAACTATATATTACGTACACTTTTCACGTATTTAGCCCAAACTGTTATTGTTATAAATAAGTATTTATTATTATAATCGTTAATAGAAAACATTTTTATACAAAAAGTTTTTCATATATCACAAGCGTTATTCAATAAGATCTCTGATCGGAAAACGCACTGATTGAAACGCGTCATATAGAAAATCGATCCATCGAATTAATATTTTCATCATGATTCTCTTGAATAAGAAGGAATGAAAGTGAGTTCAATTAGTAATGAATCAATTGCACTCGATGGATTACTTCTAAGTTTAAAGATTTATAGACATAACGCGTTGCACATTATAACAGGATATTTTCTGTTAAATAAAGCAGCGGCGTTTTCCGTTTGATTATTTACCTTAATTCATTTGATATTAGGATTAAATTATCTGACGTAATTCGTTTTACGATTACACATGTTGGACGGTAATGATGATAACTGTTATCGTCGTTATTTTTGTTTTTTTTCTTTATATACGTATATATATAAATATATATATATATATATATATATATATATATATATATATATATATATACAAGAGAAAAACTTATTCTATTGGCACGATGAACCTACTGGGGGTTAGATATTAGAAAACAATGCGAACTTTGTGATTTTGCGCAGTTTTCTATTATTATACACAATCACTGCCGGATTGAATATATTTTTATCGAAATTTGATCGTATTATATTATAGTATTTTAAATGATAAAAAAAACGCTATTAACGCGTACCAATTCGTATATTGTGCTCTTTAAAAAGTATTTCGATAAAAGACTTGTATATATTGTTTATCGGTAGAATTATTTGTTGTACGTTTATCATACATAGATGGGTCAAGTTAAACTTATGCAAACTGTATAATTGTATCGACTCGATATTCAGATTGTCTTTAGAATATTGTGCTTTAAATTTTTTTCTCAGGTTACGGACAATGAAAGTATCTATACGTATATATTTTCTATAAAGAGTATCACTATTAATTGACATCTATAACAAGAAAGAAAAAAAATACTTTCAAATATTGCAAAGTGACGTGCTTCTTATATCACACATATATTCAATATATCTATTGATTATAGGACTCGGAGCTCACTGTGTGTTTTTTACCATGTAATCAGTGAACATTCTTAATACGATACAACATGATAATACAATAATTTAGTGTAACATAAACATACCAACCATGTTTTCAAGAGTTTTCAACAATCAACGTAAATAATAGACTGAAAATACATCCTATAATACAAATACCATATGAGTAACTCTTTCTATTTTAAATGAAATGGATGTTTGTGCTAAAGTAATCCATCAAAAGTCTATAGTAAGTAAAGTTTCATCGTGCAACAGCACGAAAATAATCAAAAGTGTATAAAACTCGTTATAAACTAATTAGAATCTTATTTACCGCAATATTGAAAAGTATTACTCGCAAAGATCTTTTTTGCAAGCTTTTTCTAATACCATCTTATTTTCTTCATACAGTTAAATAAAATTATACGATAATGCGGTAATTAACATTCATGAAATTATTTCGATATTTGCTTTAAAAATTTCTCAGTCGGTCTTTTTAAAGGTATGTAGCTTAACTCCAGCTTGTTGTTCAATACCCAATTTTTTTCCATTAACAACTAATATGATAGGTGTTTCAACGCGTATAGATTTGAAATCAAAATCCTAAAAAAATATATAAATATTGATTATATCTATAATATTAAAAATTTAATCGATTTATCAAAAATACTAACATTGTTCATGTAAGAAAATTTGTGATGTATCACAAAAGGTTCTGGAATAGCGACCGAATCACCTACCGTAACTCCTCGGCCCTTAGCTAGATTATATAGCGTAACGGCAATACACGTTTTCTCATGGTCAACAAGACAAAATGCACTAAAAAAGTAAGTATAAAATTTATAACATTATTTAAATAGAAAATATTTATTTTATCTTTAATAGAAATACTTACAAAGGGACACAATCGGAATCTTGAATCCAGGATACTACTTTTCCAAGTACAACTTTCTCCCTATTTACTCCAAGCACTATGCTTTTCAATGAAGTTAAATCTAACTTTATAGATTTTTCACCAAATGTAAATGATCCACCTTTATATGGCCCTAAGTGTTTAGCATCCAATGCCTGCAGTTAATTACAACCCTATAAATTTGTATATACACTGCTTATATACACATGCTTTATGTGTATATATAAAATAAAACTCAGTGTTACATGCATGATAAATAATATCAAATTAACTATTAATAAGATAATATTTAAGAATATGTATTTTCCAAATAATTTTTAAATACCCTAATCATTTGATAAAGCCTTTTAGGTTTAACACGCCCATTTGTATTTACTAAATTTTGCACATCTTTTAAATATTGTAACAGTTCATCTCTTTTATTGCATGGGGTTTCCCATGTAGGATCCAATGACATTGCTCTTTCAAATGAATTTAATGCTTGATCATATTCCTCTTGATATTTTAATGCCTGAAATTAATTTTAAAAGATAATTGCAAGTAGATTTTAAAAGATATATTATAAAAATATAATCGAATGTATAATTACAAATACTTACAATAGCTTTGTTATAAAATAGGTCTGGATTACTTCTTGCTACAATATCTTTTTCCTGAAGATGGAGATGGAGAAAATAAGAGTAACTTTATAATATTATTACCTATTATTATTACTTACTGCTTGTGCATATGCTGACATACAAAGACGTAAAATATTTGGACTTTGTGCTATTGTAAAAAAAGATGACAAATAAGCATTTCCTAATATTGCCCAAGAGGTACCATCGGTTGTATCTAAACTGACAGAGTCTTTAGCATATTCAACGCCTTGTTGAATGTTCTGTGCACGTTGTTCTGTGGTTGAAGTTGGTTCTTGTCTTAGTACCATGGATAGATTACGTAAAGATACTTTATTTTTACCCTATATAAATAACATAAATATAAATATAATAGAAATAATTATATTAAAGAACATTTCATTTTAAGAAACATACATGAGATAAAGCTCCGACAAAACAATTTTTAGCCTGTTGTATGTCATCATTCTTCCAATAACATTCTCCTAATTCATTCCAGGCTTCGGTTAAATTTGGTTCTAATTTTACAGCCTTACTCAAGAGTTCTTCAGCTTGAGGGATATAACGATCTACAACATTTAAAGCCTTCCCTTTCAAATAATAATACTTTGCCCGGCTACCATCTATTTCATAACCTTTACATTCATCGAATTTACTAATAGTTTCTTTCATTTCTTTTTCCACATCACTGTTTTTTCTAATAGCTTCTTTAATTAGATGATTTTCAAAATAATGATCCCGAAAGAAATAAAGAGATTTTACTTTTTCCTGAAAAAAAAAGAGAAAAAAAAAGATAAGAAAATTGTTATATTAAGTGATGATAATACATAAAAAAGAACATATTATAAATGTTCTTACTGTCAATGCTACAATGGGATCCTCTTTAACAGTATTTAAACTTTTTGCTCCTGCAACCACTTTATCGTCTATAATTGCAGACATATTTCTTTCGAGGAAATTTACAAGTATACAACAAGTTAGATATGTTTTATTATTTGTCAAATAAATATAAAATAATTTTCACGAATACTCATAATGTAAAATTGTGCGGATTGCTCCGTTATTTTCGAGCTGTCAAAACAATAGTAGTTAATTTACAAGGTTATGCGTAGATCGTACGATCTTATCGAAGATCTCC